TATATATATATATATATATATATATATATATATATTTGAACTAAAAAATTATTAAATGAATATATTTTTAGATGATTTTAAGTGGTTATAGTATATTGGTTGTAATTATTAAATCCAACTCAAAATCTAATTAATTTGTTGAATTAATCTATGAGTTATTAGATGAATTTAAAATTATTATTTTTATTTATAATATTATTAATTTAATTTTTTAATAATTTTTTTTATCTTGATACAGTTTATTTTAATCGAGTCAATTATATCGAGAAGTCAACCATATTGAGAATTAACTTATTAGATCATCACATATTTAAATAAATTTAATAAAAAATAATTTAAAATAAAATTATTAAACTCCAAATTACTAGGTTAATAAGCATAACTACATCACATTTAATTAATAAATATGATATTCATATCAAAATCTTCAAAAATTAACGTTTAATGATTTTTCAATCCACACCTCATTTTACAAATCATTTGTACAGCATTATAAAGCAAACACAATTATCTGTGGCATCTACAACTTAGCTCAGGACCCCATACATGCATGGGTGTGTCATACATGGATTGCTTCTCTTGTTTATTTTATGTTACACCTGTCTGAATCCAATGTCATGGTGATGATGGGCCATAAATGGAAGCCATGCCAGGAGCTTCAAGCTTCAAAAACGTAACGTGGATCACCCAAAACTCTGGGGTCAAAGCTAGTTTCATTATTAACAAATTCAGCCAGCTGTCTTTGTTCCTTGAAATCAGTGATTGTGTTTTTGAGAGTTTTTTTTTAAAATTAAATTAAATTAATATTTTATTTTAATTTTGAAAAATTATTTTTAATATTAATGTTTTTAAACAATCTAAAAATAAAAAAAATTAATTTTCATATAACATAGAAAATAATTCCAAACTGCCCTTGAATAGCAAGAGTCTGACTAAAATTAACTAATACTTTTATTGAATTATGAATGCTAAATTTTTTAAATATTTTTTTAAATTCATTAAAAGAATTGTTTTATAGATGTTTATGGAATCCGAGTTTGTGTTTCTCAAACTTTCAATCTTTTTATTAACTTCATAAATAATGATTAATAATTTTTTTATTATTATTATTATGACGATGAAAACAACAAAAATAGCATGATTATCGTTATTATTGTTAAATTTATTATTAATAAAGCTAATAAATATAATTAAAATTAGAAAAATTAATAAATATATGGTGCAAATATGTTTATGATAAGTGAAACACAAAGAGAAACATAAAAAAAATATCATAATCAAACTAAAAACTTAAAGATTAAATAAAAAAAATTAATGAAAAACTAAATCCATACAAGATTTGCCAATTTTCCTTTTAAAGTTTTCCATCACTCATGATGGATTACCCTTTCTTTTTCGTAATCTTATTTTGTGCCTTTTAAAGTTTATCTATGGCTTAATTTGATGTTTTTTCTAAGGTGTTTTTGAATTTATTGAGATTAATTTGAGTTGATATGCTCGAATCAAATTTGGTTTTATAATTATATTTTTATAAATATCTATTTTATAATAAAAAATTAATATTTTTGACATTTTAAAAGAAAACTAAAACTTAAAAAAGAGAGAGAGAGATAAAGAAGCAGGAGAAATTATAAGCCATTGCTAATTACTGTTATCGAAAATTCAGGATCGTGATAGAGATAGATAGAGATTTTGTTTTTTAAATGTTTTTTATTTAATTTTTTTTTAAATAATTTTTTTTAAAAATATTTTTAATATTAATTAGAATTATAAAAGAATATTTAAAAAAAAATAAACGGCGCCGAAACAATCCTACTTGGACTTCTAACAAGACATAAAACAGGCTGATGTCTTTTTTAGACTTTTGCTGATGTACCACATTCTTGCACGTGTCTCATCTTGGGTAAGCGGGGACGCAACATGTCGAGAAAACAGACTGTAGTTTTAAAATTCGATACGGAATTGTGATCGAGCAAGGCCCATGAATTAGAATTCTTTTTAAATAATTAAAATAATAAAAAAAATTAAAATAAAATTTAACGAATTAATGACACCGGGTTTTAATTAAAAATCGGTCTGAATTAACGAGGCTCTAGATTCACCCGTCCAGCAGTGCCACCTCGGAAATGTACGTGGAGCGTGCACGTGCTTCGTGCTGGAGAAACTGAGGCTTCAATTCCAGACTGTCAACGAAGAAGACAACCACCCGGAGGAATAAATTCTTAAATTAATTAATAATAAATAAAAAAATAAAAAAATTCTTAAATTTAGCTAAGCAAGCAGGTTCTAGATTCCATCAAACTCTCTAGATCTTCCTACCTATCGGTATCTACATCTCCCATTTTATTAATATATTTTTTATTTTCTATCCTTCAAATTTCTAGTCAAAGTAAATCAAGATTGAATACAGAATCTTCATAATTGTCTTAGTTTTTTTTATTTGACAATAAATAATATTTTAAAATTTACTTGGGTGTTAATTAATCTCCTTTAACTTTAATAACTGTTTTTTATTATAAAAAGTGATTATGATATATAGATATGAATAAAAAGAAATTGTTTTTAGGGTAATTACATAACAAATTTAACATAATTTAGATTTTAAAAATAGATATTAAATTCGAGGTGTGGTGCACATAATTTGTCTCTAATCAGATATAAAATATGGACTTGATCTCACTGCGTGAGAGTCGCCTCGAGATTATCGATAATTATGAAAGAAAAGGAACAAAATTAAAAGAGATTTCTGACAATTTTTTTCATTAAAGAAATAAAAATCTTGACAATCTTGAAATTCCAGGTATTTTTTTCTTTAACGAAAAAAATACTAACATTATAAAACAAATTAAAATTATCAAGTCCTAAGTTTTCATTAAATAATAATAATAATAATAATAATAATAACTATATTATTATTATTATTATAGAAGAAATACCAGTAGAGAAGCTGAAAAAAAACTGAGCAAATGAAAATTTATTTTTTAAAAAATATATTTTGGTTGAAGGTTAATTTAATATATATATATATATATAAAAAGTATATTTTGGTTAAAGGTTAATTTAATATATATATATATATATATATAGTTTTTAATATTGTAAATTTAACTACTATTCTTATATTATAAAATAAATAATATTTTATATAAAATATTATTTTATTATTTTATTAAACTATTTATAATTTCATCATATATAAAATAAATTTAATAAAAATAATAACTTCCTTGATTTTTTAAATGTGTAACAATATTAAATAAAATATCATTATAAATAAAATTAAAATTATGATTTATTATATGTGATTTGCTTTTAATTTATATAGTATTATTAAATAATATTTAGCACTGATTTTTTAAAAGAAATATAATTAAAAAATTAAAATTTTTTATTATTTATATATATATAGTGCAAATAAATAAATTTACTGTGCTGATAAAGATTAATTGTGTTTTAAATCAATAACGTGCTCTTTCTACGTGAACAGTATAAAATGTCACTCACTGTTCACCTATTCATTTTCGTACAAAATAAATTAATTTACTTTAGACAGTTGACTTAATAAAAATAAATACATTAAAATTATTAAAATTATGATTGTATTTGTTTTGTTAAAATATATATTAATAATATTTTTTTATTTTTTAAAAATTATTTTTAATATTAATATATTAAGATTAAAAATAATTTGAAAACATTAAAAATATATTAATTTAAAATACATAAAATAATAATAAAATTTTATTATTAATTTAAAATACATAAAATAATAATTTTTTTTTTTCAAAATACTTTTAAATTAAATAAACAAACACTATTTTAACACCGATGTAAACTTTAACCAAACATAATTAATTTATGATTTCTTCAACGGTGAAGACAAACACGTCGTCATTAATTCTTCACCTGTTCACCAAAAACAATTTTTTTTTTTAAAAAAATGGAAAATGATTTAAAGCCAGGTAGAGAGCTGGTGGAGAAATCAAGCATCGAAATATCGAGAAGCAGAAGGCACCCGCCCCGCATTAAGCCATCATCACCAGTAAAACCATGGAGAATCATAAACAAGAACAAGAGCAGGGAGAGCTAACAATATTCAAAGCAAGAGAATTATTTTCATCAAACATAATTCTCAGCTTGATAGCAGTAGCAATATGGCTTGGTTCAATCCATTTTGTTGTTCTTTTAGTTATTTTTTCTCTCCTTTTTCTCTCTTTCTCCAAGTGTCTCCTGTAAGTATCGACAGCCCTTTTCCTTCCTCAATTTTTGATCTTTTCTTCGTTTGATTCTCTTCAAACATGGAAACCAACGCACGGGTTCTTTTTTGTTTTGGCTTTTAGTGTTTTCGGATTGCTTTTGTTGCTCGTTTTCGTTCCAATTGATGATGATAACAAGTTGGGCCGTCGTCTTTGTTGGTAAAGAAACTATCTTACTCCTTTTGTTTATTCTTTCGTTAGTACTTTTACTTTCTTGAAAGGGAGAAGGAATGGATTTTTGCTCTTGTTGTTCAAAAAAGATTGAATCTTTGATTTTTGTTTTTCTTTTGTTGTACGATAAAGACTGCATTTTGTTGCTTTTTGATAACAAATGCAGGTATATATGTAGGCATGCTTGCTGCTATTTTCCAGTGACTTTACATGTTGAGGATATAAATGCCTTCCATCCTGATCGTGCTTATGGTATATACTTTATTTGTGGGATTTTTTTTTCATCAGTGCTCGTTTGCAGAACATGAAAATGATGGTTTGCAATTGACTTTTGTGTTGCTATTTTTGAAATGAAAGTGAATCTGAAAAGGGACTTCGTTGAGACAATAAATCCACAGGCGTTACTGGTCTAAAGCTTAATGATTCTTCACTGACCAATTTTTAATAGAAGTGAGAATTGAATGGTTTGATGCCCCACTTGTTCATTCCTATTGATATCAGCGTGGTCCAATTTCAGGATTATGTGTGACAATAGCACTAGGATGTTGTAACTCTAACAAAAGGTGTAAATATGAAATGGTCTGGGAACATCAGTAGTATGGTTGCAAATGATGTCAAAATAGGACTTGTGTTATCTTTGAGAAATTGGCAATAAGCTTCAAGATGTGATATCAGAAGAGTGGATTTTTATTAGATTAAATTACTTTGTTGATTTGAAATTCAAGTGGCTGGGGTATTGGGTTTTTCTGAGAGGATGTTGTTCAGGAGGAAGTTGATTTTACAGTTTCCTGTGGATCTTAACTTTTTAGCTGTGCTAAATTTCCAATAGCTTCTTTTAGCATTTTTGAGCGAGTAACAGGAGACTTCTTTCGTGCTTCATGCAGTCTTTGGTTATGAGCCACATTCAGTTTGGCCCATTGGGGTCGTTGCATTAGCAGATCATACAGGTTTCATGCCTCTTCGAAAAGTAAAGGTCCTTGCTAGTAGCGCTGTAAGGCATTTTCCCTTTTCTGTATTTTTAAATATTTAGAGCTTTTCCTTCTCTTTCTCAACACATGGGAATTAAAATTCAGGTTTTCCTTGTGCCATTTTTGAGACATATATGGACATGGTGTGGTCTTACATCTGCGACAAAGAAAAATTTTACTTCCCTTCTGTCAGCTGGTTATACATGCATTGTAAATCCGGGTGGAGTACAAGAGACATTTTACATGGAGCATGATAATGAGGTCTTGACCGTTGTTTTTTTTCACCCTGAAGAATAGCTTGGTTGTTAATCTTGGGTGCTGCTTGCTCTCAGATTGCTTTCCTCAAGTCAAGAAGAGGATTTATCAAGATAGCCATGGAGAACGGTGCACCCTTGGTTCCAGTTTTCTGCTTTGGTCAAGTATTGATTCTTTTCTTTTTCACTGACCGTTGTTTTTTTTCACCCTGAAGAATTGCTTGGTTGTTTGTCACCTGTTGGTTAAATGCAAAGCATAGTATTTTCTTGTTATGTACTCCATTTACTTTGCCAGTGAATGCTGGAACTATGTGGATTGGTCCATTGTAAAAGACATTGGTCCTCTTGTGTATTGCTCGAGGTTAATGTTTCAAGAATTGAGTTTTCATCTTATGGATTAATTCTCCCTTTTCCAATTACACATTTTTCATTGATAACATGGTTAATTTTCTTATTCTTGCTGCAGTCAAAAGTGTATAAATGGTGGAAACCCAGCGGAAAGTTATTCTTGAAAATTTCTAGAGCAATTAAATTCACTCCAGTTGTCTTCGGGGGGATTTTTGGGTAAGTAAAAATTTGGGGAAATTCTAGTTATGTTTAGATAAACTCCATTTGTGTTTAGTGTTTAGGCCCATGGTTATACCCACTGCCAGGTGCAGCTTTCTCCAAAAAATCTGCTAATGTTTAATGAGAAAGACAAAATGACTCCTTTTTTTATTGGGGAAGTGGGTTTGTTGTATTATTTCCTCTGTATATTTGAAATTTGATAGAACCCCTCTTTATATATATATAAGATTAAACAAAAACATATTTGCAATTTATAATTGTTTGCTGCTTTTCAGGACTCCCTTGCCCTTCCAACGCCCGATGCATATCGTGGTTGGTAGACCTATTGAGCTTAAGCAAAATCTTCAGCCCACTGTGGAAGAGGTATGGTGCCACTTAAATCTGCAATCTGATGAATCAGTTCTGAATGGAAATGGTGAACATATCCATTTTGTTTGAAGTACAATAAATTCGTTTTATGTTTTAGATTAATGAAGGATTAATACGGGAGAGACCTCCCCTCTTGCTTTTGCAAGAGCACCATTGAGCTCCAAAGCCCATTGTTCATTTATAGATTCCTTGTTCTTCAAGTATTAGTTAGTAATACTTCCTGCTCTGGTCAGTGGCAAAGCTACCCCAAATTCCCAATTTCATTAGAGGGGCCAAGAAAAACTTACATACCATCAAGTGAAATTTGGTTCCAAGGATGGTCATACTCCCATCATGCCATTTGATTACTGGAGAATATAATGTAATGTGAAGTGTTGACACTCAGCTCAAAGCTCTGTATTGTAAAAATCCATAGCTTGCAATTTAAGATGCCAGCATTTCCCAGTCCCAAACTAGTTACACGCTGTACAAAATGTAGCAGATTGTAAAGCTTTTATAATTTAACAAGCTCAGAAACTCAAGGCCCTAGTACTGGTACAAAAAGAAATCCAGTTAGGGTGGGACTTAAAGCTGCCTGCATTCCTCTTTTCACTATATCTATAGACTAATGACTGAGTGACATTAGAGTGTGTTTGGTATTGCGGTAGCTGTTGTGGTTGTGATTTGAAAAGGTTGTTTTATAAAAAGTATTTTTAACTGAGGTTGGTTTGATTTTATAGGTGTTTGGTTAAAATTATGGTTGAAATTGAGGTTGAATAAAAAGTAATTTAATGTGTTTGATTAAGAATATTTTTAAAATTGAAATTATAACTGTTGCTCATACATGGATTTATTTTGCAGCTCGCTGAAGTGCACGGTCAGTTTGTCGCCGCACTGGAAGATCTTTTTAAAAGGCACAGAGCACGGGTTGGGTTTGCTGATCTTGAATTGAAAATTCTATAATTTGACTGCACAACTTAGACTTGTTTCTGAATGTTTCTTTTTTACATTTATTAATCTTTTTCTATGTTTTCTTGGTTATATGTTGTATATATTGATTTTTTTTTATGTGTTACAAACTATTTTTTAAATTGTTTTTCGTCTAAAAAAACATTAAATTGATTTTTTAGGTGTTTTTGGATGATTTTAATGTCAAAAATAAAAAAATAATAATTTGAAAAACATCATTCTAATGCATTTTTAATTATAAAGTATTTATAAATAACATCATGTGCCACACTATTAAACATTCACTGAAAATTAAACTTTGAAAAGCTAATAAATATTCATTCAAGGAATCCATTGTTCTTGGTTACATTCTTTTAGTTTAGGGAGAATGCACAGAGATGACTTGTAAAGCGACAGTTGCAATATTCATTGAAGGAATCCAATTTCTTGGTTACATTTCTTTTAGTTTAGGGAGGCTGCACAGAGATGACTTGTAAAGCGACAGTTGCAATATTCATTGAAGGAATCCAATTTCTTGGTTACATTTCTTTTAGTTTAGGGAGGCTGCACAGAGATGACTTGTAAAGCGACAGTTGCAAGTAATTTTGGTATCAGCAGGGTTTTGCATTCCAGAAGCACATGCGAACAGTTTTCTGCAGAAATGATAATGAATTGAGTGCTGTTTACGGCTATGAGTTACTATCATGCAGAAACGATAATGGGCTGAGGTCCTTATGTGATGGAGTTACAAGTGAGGACTTGGGCAGCCAAAAACAGAAACAGCTAAAATTATTATATAGAAATTTGAATGACGTGTGAGGTTCAATGCCATTATGTATGGGCTAATTGGTTTCATTTTCCTGTTGTTTTTTTATTTATCGAACTATCAGGTCAGTACAATACATCACATCGTCTCCACCTCTGTTCTATAAACTCAATTAAGTAGCACATGATGTGCATATGTGTGACTATTCCTGCTAGATGATGAAAGCCCAAGTGAGATTATTTTGCCTTAACCTGAAAATTTGAGGGACAAAAATATAATTAAAGGTCAAAAGTCTATATAGATTTGATCAAAAGTTCAGGAGGTCTCTCGGACAATCAACCTTGTATAACTCTTTGAAACCACAACATCTGGTTCTTGTACATTTCCGTAAAGCAACTGTATCATTTCGGTACAGACCTGACTAGAAATGTAAGTTGAGGCTTGAATGTCTTTTCATCCGAGCCCAGTTTGAACTAACCAGCTTCTTTCATATGTCAACTCAAGCAGTTACTACAACAGAGGATGCTGTGGGTGATTTTGGTATTTTTAAAACCAAAACTGGTAAGCCAAGGTTGATCATATAAAGATATTGCTTATCACTGTTAAAGGGGGATTCCTAGAACCTTGGCCATTTTTCGAACCTTGCTTAGCCAGTTCATGTTCAAGTAAATTTAAAAGGTAGCATCTCTCACACGAGTTCCCATTTCCATACAGATGCCATGGCACTACCTTAAGACGATAGCATTTTCACCAAGGCCAAAGTGCAGTATAAAAAGTTTCATAGACTAAAGCCATCAGACTCAATTGACGGGAAAGCAATTGAGGAAACCATCACGACAGGAGGCAGGATGAATAAAGCCATCAGACTCAATTGACGGGAAATCAATTGAGGAAACCATCACCAACTGAGATCAGAACACTATAAAAATATGAAGGATGATATAACTCAAAGCCAAAAAGGGGTAATTTCATCTTCTATCATAAGAAACAAATTACACTTCTCATTTGTGCGTCTCATCTAGCTAGAGAAAGCCGAAGGAAGGGAAGGAGAGGGGGGCGAGGATAAGCTGACACCAACAAAGCCATTTGGGTTAATCTTTCATTCCCAACTTAATATTTTGAACTTTAATAGACAATTGTAATTTCTGCTCCTCAATATCTTTCAGCACTGAAAGCAAGTTTGCTCTATATGCTTCACATTTTTGTCTCGCGCGATCCAGTTTGTGATGCAGTTTCTGGATTTTCTTGTCCTGGTCATCCTGCAAATTGATACATATAATATTCAATTACATTCAGCTGAGGAAGTAACAAAACAAACACAAGCCAGCTGTGTTTTGTTCTACTATCCCACAAAAGTAGAATGCAACTATCAGGACCAAGCCTCCACATCATCAACTATTAGGAGTAGGAAAAAGAAAAAGAAAATTAAGAAACATTCTGCATAAAAATAAGTATTCTATTCACACAAAAAACAGAAGATAAATGTTCCAAAACAGCAGATGCAGTGAGAGTTTAGGCTGTTAATGGAAACAAAATCAGATGATGGTATGACAACGATGATGATTACCATGAATCTAAATAGCTTGTTTCTGCTACAAACTACAAAGAGACCCATTGAAGTCAACAAATTAATCTCAACTGACAAAGTCATTAGTTAATCCGAATTAAAAGAGCAATTTTTGCATTAATATCACCTATATTCCAGCATTAACAGAAAAATCTATAGAAAAGGGCAAAAATAAGTATCAAATATTACCGAAAAAGGAAAAATTAAATGAATAAATAACTGAAGTGTGAGAGAGAAGGAATGAAAAACTGACCCCAGAAGCAGGCTGTTCTGAGCCCTGTTGCTGATTATGATTGTTATTATTTGCTTGACTTCCCTGAGGAGGATACTCTTCTCTGCCAGCTCTATTTGCTATTGCAACTTTCCCACCATTCTTTCTTGCAAGAGCCACTTTATTTGCTGCCTCTTGCAAAGCATCCATTGAAACATTGTAAATTTCTAAACTTTGGGTTCCATTATCAACGTACTTAAGGGCTTCATGGCGAAGGTTGCTGTATCGAAAGGTAAGAGATTCTCGTGAACTACTAAGAAAATCACAGGCGTGTTCCTCCAATATGACACCACTCTTGGCATTCCTTGTCCATCGTTTCAAAACATAATGGGAAGGCAGTGTAAGAACATTTGTCACCCTAAAAACTGTCAATATGTGTCTGCAAAGAAGGCCGGAGAACTCAAACATCAGACAACTACAAGAGGCTTTCATCTCACGAACAGTAAAGCTAACAGTATAAGCTTTATGACTTTCACCAAACTTAGCAACTCTATAAGTGGTGATTGCACCATCATCCCCAACTTTGGTTGCCAGGAAAGTTAAAGTCTCAACCAGCTCTTCTTGAAATTTTAAAAACAATTTCCTGGAATAGAGCTCAGCCACTTGCTTCTCCATAGGTGAAGGTGTCTTCAGAACTGGGGCGGTATTTATCGAATCATAGTCAGCTTTGACTTCTTTCTCATAGCGGCTTTCCAAAGCCTTCTCATACTGCTTAACAAACAACTGTAGGGTAGTTGAGGCATTGATGTATCCATCAAAGTAAGAGTTGATGCTGTCACTGCGCTGTGTTATAGACATTTCTGCAAAGAATGTATCTCTCAAGTAAGCTGGGACCCATTGGCGTCGATCAGTATAAACTGCTTGTAGCCACTCGTGCTCCCTGAGATTATATCTATTAAGTAGAGACAACCAACAAGACTCAAATTCCTCAACTGACTCTGTGAGGTTAACACATTTATGGAGCTCCGCTTCAAAATTAGGATGCTCAGAAAGCACATGGGACAGCTTCTCCTGGAATTCTTTAAAGATGTGCCACTTGCAGATACGATGACGGGTTTCTGGAAAAACCTGGTTCACGGCTAGACAAATTACCCTATCATGATCAGTAGTGATTGAACCAGGAGGCCGTTCTGACATTGCCATAAGCCATGTTTTGAAAAGCCAGAGAAAAGAAGCCTCGGATTCATTGACCAAGAGAGCACAACCGAACAAAACAGGCTGCCCGTGATGGTTAACTCCAGTGAACGGTGCAAAGGGCAATCGATAGCGATTTGACCGGTAGGTTGTATCAAAGGTAACAGTGTCACCAAAGTATGTGTAGTTAGCCCTTGCCTTTGCATCAGCCCAGAAGATATTGCTCATACACTGATCTTCATCACCCTGCACAGCATAGAAAAAAGCAGAATTCTCAGCCTGCTTGTTTCGCAGGTAGTCCAAAAGGTGCTGAGTGTCACCACCAAGAGTTCTTTGTCGACTGCTCCTCATGTAATTCCTACAGTCACGCTCAGTAAAACCAACATTACTGATTCCACCATATTCTTTGATGAGGGCAGACATAATACCACTGGGACCAATCCCAGCACACTGCAAGGTATCAATCAATGATTTGGCAGAGCCGGATACATGGCGGTGAGAGCGGAGACAATGCACCTTGTCAGGTGGAACAAGCTCGTGGTTATGTTCCCTTACAAATGCCGAAACAACCCACCTACCACAATCCTGGATTTTAACGACCAACATGGCCTTACAACCAACACGGGTTTCAGCACGAGGGCGTTTGACACGCACATCAGAACGTGCAGGCTTATCCTTGTCAATGCGGAAACCCTCTTTTGCACAAACAAAAGACCTCTGAATGATAGCACCATCACGTCTAGACCTGCGGGACATACTGACACGAGTACTAAATCCCACACGACGAGCATACGAATTGTAAAAAGCCTTCGCAGCCTCCTCAGACTCAAATTCCATACCCTCATAAGGCTCAAGATTAGTGTCCCCTTGAGGGATATAGACTTGACCAGAAATGGAATTGTGGGAACTTTGGGGGTCATAAAAATTCAGCAGGAAATGGTTTCCTTCAACTTCTCCATCTCCTGCTTCCTCTTCTTCCACTTCATCAACACCAACATCAACAGACTGATGCTGAATATCATCCACAGTATCGTCTCCCAAACCCATCATGTCAAATTCAATAACTTCATTCCCCATAGTCAGTGGTTCCAACTCCATTATCATATCAACCACTATAAAAGAAAAAAAAATCTAAGCAAGTTACAATATTAAGAAATCAAACACTGCTACTTCGCTTCCAACTAAAGACGAAAACTTTCAAACCCAAGGTGAAAAAAGTTCCAATCTTTAAACAGAAAACAAAGAAAAGACACAACACTACCACAAACAGAAAATATATCCTGTAAGAAAGAAACCCATTGATGAAAACTTGAAGGAGAGTGAAAATGAAGTAGACTGACCCACTTGGGCTTGGC